GTCTCTGGCGCGGATACTTCAACGGAACAGCAACAGGAGCATTCATCAACGTGCAAGGAGGATCCGCCTTGTAAGTTCCATCTCCCTCCTAAAGGCCAATATAAAAACCCACTAACATCTCAACAGCGGCTGGTCCGCCTGGCTAAACGGTGCCTTTTTGGGCTCCTACCTCGGTGACGCCAACACCGCCCAAGCAAACCTAACCCTCTCCTTCGCCAACGCAACCCTAAGCACAACAACCCCCAACGTCCTCCTCATCGTCCACGATGACACAGGCCACGATGAAACAACAGGGGCCCTCAATCCGCGCGGTATCTTCGACGCCAGCCTCCTCAACTCCACATCCGGCTTCACGCACTGGCGTCTGGCCGGTACAGCCGGCGGCGAATCAAACCTCGACCCGGTTCGCGGCGTCTGGAACGAAGACGGTCTCTACGGCGAACGGGTCGGATGGCATTTACCCGGATTCGATGATTCAGCTTGGAAAACCACCTCTTCCAGCAAGAGTAACAGCAAGGGAAAGAGCATCCTGTCCTTCGAAGGCGCAACAGTCCGCTTCTTCCGAACGACAATCGACCTCTCACTCCCCTCTGAACACGATATCTCTATTTCATTCGTTCTCTCCACGCCAGCTGGAACGACGAATGCCTACCGTGCTCAGTTGTTTGTTAATGGGTATCAGTATGGTCGTTATAACCCCTTCATTGGAAATCAGGTTGTTTACCCTGTTCCTGTGGGCATTTTGGATTATAACGGGGAGAATACTATTGCGATTGCGGTTTGGGCGCAGAGTGACGAGGGCGCTAGTATTGGTGTTGAGTGGCGGGTTGATTATTTGGCGGAGAGTTCGTTGGATGTTGCTTCTTTTGAGACTGGGGGGTTGAGGCCTAGGTGGGATAAGGGGAGGGTTAAGTATGCTTGATTTGTAGATGGTGTGGTTAAAAATGATGTAATGAGCGTGAATTATCTCTCATAGTTGAATAATATATTAGTATAATATGCATACAGCATCTTTCTATTGTATAAGTAGTGCGACTCATAACTTGTGAAGACTAACAGAAGAGGATTATCCTCGCCCAAGTCGAATAAGGGAATAGTTCCATTCTATCTAGATACTCTAATCCTGCGTATTCTGGGCATTGTATAACAAAACACCGCATAGCCTTCCCCTCGTTGCTAGAGACTAAATTTTCCGTAGACTAGAGTAAGAAATCCACCTTATACCAAGAATCGGAACCCACGACGGCTTCCCACACCAGGGACAGCCCCCTCAACCTCCTCGCCACGATCAAGCTTGTTATTAAGGCGAACCAACATGAACCGCAAAACGGTAGCGGCAACAATCGCAATAAAAGCCGTCGCACAATTAACAGACATAGCAGGCACTGGAATATAAGTTAGCAAAGCAATCATCCAAAACAATCCAAATAGCAACACCTACCAAAACGCGGCTTATCACTATTGGGATACATATAGCTAGCATAAATACTGCTAGCATTACTAACGCAGTTAATAGCAGCGAGCGCGGCAGCACGTTTCGCCGCTGGACGAGGCAAAGTATTCGAAATCCAACCCAGAGCAACAACATAACCGGAATAGAACGAAGGAACCATAAGCATCATCGCAACATAGCGCGGCGCCGTACCGGTCGTTGTAGCTGCGATGATGAATGCCACGACGGAGAGGTATAGAGGCAATGTAACATGGAAATAGCGCTCGCCTGTCCGATCCGCATGCCAGGCGTTACCGAACGCACAGAAGACAGCGAGACAGTATGGCGGGGCTGTGAGGAGGAGGGTCTCGATTTTTCCGTAATTTAGTGTCTGGACGACAGTCGGGAAGAAGTTTGTTACTGAGGCTGAGGATACGATGCACAGGATCATCAGCATCAAGACCCAGGTTTTGATATCTGCGAAGGCGAGTTTGGCGCCGTGGAGGAAGGTTTGTTGTTCGCTATCGACCCAGTCGTCTTCGCCGATATCTTCTTCCAAGCGCCAGACGGCGAGTTCTTTTTCTTCTTCCGAGAGCCAGCTTGTTGTGCGTGGGAAATTTGGGAGGACGAAGACGGCGGCGATGGCGACGACGATTGTGATTGCGCCTTCAATTATGAAGAGCCAGCGCCAGGCGCGCAGGCCGAGCACGTTGTCCATGTTTCTCGTTATTCCTGCTGCTATCAGGCCAGAGAATGCACCTGAGAGCAGGGAACCGGAGTATAGGGCTGCTGTGCGGAATCCTAGTTCTTTGCGGGTGTACCAGGCACTTAAGAAGTAGAGACAGCCTGGGAAGTAGGCTGCTTCGACGAAACCGAGGAAGAATCGGATTACCACGAGGCCCGCGTAGCTTGAGGCTGCTGCTGTGGCTGTTGAGATTATTCCCCAGAGCACCATTGCGGCGGGTAGGTAGAGGGCTGGTTTGCCGAATTTGTTTAGCATTAGGTTGGAGGGGATCTGCATTAGCAGGTATCCGACAAAGAGGATGCTGACGCAGGTTGCGAATTGGTTTCCCACTAGTCCTAGGTCTTCTTCGAGGCCTGCTAGGCGGGCTGAGGCGATGTTGTTTCGGTCGAGGTAGTTGAGGATGTACATGAGGATGATCATAGGTAAGAGGCGGATGTCAATCTTGCGGACGAGGGCTTTCTCTGCCTTGGTGCGTTCTTCAGGCGTGAGAGTGGCCACCGACGCCGGGGCTTCTTTCTGGGCGTTTGGCTTGTCGGCATTGGCGATGGCTTCGACATTGTTGATGTTTGCTTTGTCGATATCGCCGACTTCGATGTCTGAATTTCTGGGAGACATCTTGTACCAATGATGCTCCAAAGAGCATAAAGATGGCGGAAGAGAAGGATATAAGTATTGAACCACCGAGCTCACTCGAAAGTATGGACCGAGAAGATAGTCAGATACCAGAGAAAGCAAGGGGTATAAGAATGGAAGGAAAAGCCGCAAGACAAACACAATCTCGGCAGCAGCTCGGGGTGACCTGCACGCTCAGACTACTATACTCCGAAAATATCAGGACATGTGGCGCGCAAGGCCAATGGCCCGAGGGCAAAACCCCCGAGCTTGGGAGGGATTGGGGTTGGTCAAGTCTGATCCCGGCCATAGCATTGCAACCCTCGGTCCAAATAGTACCCCAGACCGGGCTCGATTCGCTCCGCGGACAGACGAGCTAGTCCGTTGGGGATGGGGTCATGCACGACAGGGCCAATGGTGGCCAATGGTGGCCATGATACCCCGGGATAGAGCGGGGTGCAAAGACTGGGGAAATGCAGACCCCAGACATGTCCCGATTTCAGTGTAGAGAGAATTGTACACTTGCGTTGATGAAGGCAAGATCGCCCCGCGTGGGGGTCACCGCTTGTCTTGGTATCGAAGCGTTTGGTTTTGAGGCTTGACCTGAAATAGGTAGCATTTCAGCCAGCGTGGGGGTTCCTGGGCCCTGCTGACAACTATTTTCTCATCAGGCGTTTTTCTTTCTGGAAGTTCAAGGCGATGGAGATGATTGGTTTTGTTTAGGTTAGGAATGTTGGCATGGTGGCAATCATGTTTATTTGGAGGAAGTATAGACCGATGGGTAACAGAACTGTCTCCAGACTGAGATTGAAAACATGCTTTAGGATCTCAGTACGTACATTTGCATTTGTCATACCTTTCTCATTGCCGGTAGTTTGCCAACATGTTTCGGAAGAGGTATGCGTGAAAAAGGGGGTTTGTGTAGACATTCAGATACTGACATATCCCCATCTAGCTATATCAAAGACAGCTCAACAAAAGACCTATAATCTCTACCCAACGCCAGAATGCCAGATAAATATATATCCATCCCAATATCAACCCGTATAGTATTCCACCCGAACCCAACAACCCCCACGCATTCTAATAGAAGTATTCAAGTACACCTATCAAACAAGAATCAACCTGTCGATCACGTCAGTCAATGGCATGAATGACAGATCCTACTCCCGATGTTTTACCGATATTTCGGTTTCCCGATACCTCATTCCTTTCGGGCTTTCTTCATACCATCTCGCTCCGATGTCTCGGGATGTTCTTGCCGATGATATTGTAATTGAGATCAGTAGAGGATTAAATTAGAATGCGGCATTACTTATTTCTGCTTGTATTTATATTTGCATTCTGGCTGGGGGTTATGTGTCAAACTTCGTTGCTGAGGGTATTGTTATGGGATGGAGGTCGTTTGCCAACCGTATAGGAGTATCTACATTACGTCTCAACTCGAACTATACAGTACAGCTAGGCTGATGAAGAACAACAAGATCCATTGATTCAGTACCGACACATCCGCCTATTAACCACAATTACGAAACAAACGAAAGATACAGAACGATGCAAACGAAATGCAAGAAAGGCTCAGATGTGTATTTCAAAGTAGAGCTCGAAGGGTAGATATGAAAGGGCCCAGGCATGACCATGACAGGAGAAACGATGTGCTAGAAGACAAGAGAAGATAGAGAGAGGATGAAAAACGAAAAAAAGGGAAAGAACTGCCCAGTACCCACGCTCCCAATATTCAATGACAATGATTCAGATGCACGATGCAGGAAAGAGAGGAATGAAAAGAAACAGAAAAGGTAACAGAGGGGAAAGAGGACTGCCAGACCGATTAGACGGCAAGAACTTTCATTAGATCAAGATCAACCAAGACACGGAGCTCGAAATGAACAGTCCTGATTGTTTAAGTGCTGGTACATGCAGTAGAGACCATTAAGATTTCAAGAAAGCCGCACCGCTCTTTTGTTTTGTTTGGCGCTTTTGCCGCCGGAAGCACGAATGTTATGGTCAAATCGCTGGAGTGTATGGATCCTTGAAATCAATTAAGGCCCGTTCAGATGCCATATCTCATGTTTGCAAGGAAGAAATCATCAAACACCAGTCGCCGGAATTGATGCATGTCTATGGACAGAATGTGAGCTCGATCACTGCCCTGAAACCGCTTGCTGATGGACAAGTACCGAGCCATGCAAAGAAAGTCCCGCCCAGAACTTAAATGAAGTGTGTGTAGATCTTGGAATTCTCATGGACTTCCATCTCCTGCGAGATTGTTAGTATGCGATTACACTATGAGTAATGCCTGCACTCACCATTTTGAAGTTGTTGATCTCCTCCCGAATCTGCTGAGCAAGCAGGGGAGTGAGACGGTTGCAGGTCGCAATCTCTCCACGTCGGTCGTACTCGCCGCTAGGCCAGGTTTCGTGGAACTGAATGCGAGGGCTGAAGACGATATTTCTACCGGCAACAGCTTGCGGGGTGATAGGCGCACTCTTGGCCTCGGAGGACGTGAACCGTCCTGCGTTCGAAAGGAAGTAATCCTCTCCAGCGATCTTGACGGAGTCGTTCTGGTGAGCTGGGGATCGCGCCGCCTCATCGGGTGTCGGGGGAGCACTGGAGTGCGGTGAGTCACCACCGTTAAGTGCATATGCAGGCGACGAGACACCGAGGTCAGAGTGAGTTTCTATTGAGACATGTCAGTATATCACTCAGGTGTTTAGTGTTGGAACACATACTCTTCAGGATACCCTTTCGAATTCCTGCCAGGATCTCCGCACGCTCGCGGTCTCCTCCCACAATGCTCTTACGCGACTGGGAGTTCTCGGATGCGGCTCTTTCCCGAACCGAAGTAGACCGCCTGACCTCAGAAGCACCCTCCACCCTGGGGAAGACTGTACCCCCACGGGGCATTTCCTGGGGGTCTGGGTTGACAGCGACGCTCTCTCTCTCCGCCTCAACGTTCACCACGGTGATCTGTGGGGGTGGAGTCTCAACGGCCGGACCCTCGACGGAACCGATACTGGCGACTGATTTCGGTCGGAACATGCCAACCAATGAGCGAGTTGACCGTTTCATTCCCTTGCCCATTTTGCGAAGCATCATGGAAGCAGACGAGGCGGTGGATGAGACGGAGAGGTTGTCGGTAGATCCAGTGAAGAAATGGCCTTGGTTGGAGTAGATGCTGTTACCCAGTCCACTCAATTCCTGTTGCTCGGCAATTGCGGCCTGTTCGGGTCCCAGTTCCTCCTTCAAGGCTTCACGACGTTCTTTCTCGAGCGCAATGGCTTCTCGCTTGGCAGCGTTGGTTTGTGCAGAGTTCTTGAGAAGCTCAGAGGCACTACCAAAGGAGAAGGCCCGTCTCAGGCGTGATTTCCCGGGGCGCTTCGATTCATTTTTCAAATCATTGAGACGCTTTGCAGCTGGGGAATCAAGTGGAGACGGCGTTTTGCGTGTGTCGGGTTGGGCAGTTGTTTTGGGGGTTTCGGGTTCGGTAGAGACAGGTTGTGACAAGGGCGATGGCTTAATCGTTCGTTTATCATCGGACTTTCCGGTCTTGCTCGTCGCGGAGCTGGAATCTGGGGTGCCTTCACGTGTCTATACAAAAACGTTAGTTCGGTTCGTTTATATCGCTGCGGGCGGGAATTCCTACCGAAGAAGTCGATGACTGGGCCGAGTGATTACTACCGAGGCTGTCCCGGTGAGAGTGTGAAGACACAGGCCGTTGGTTGGTGTCAAAAGCAATGAAATCGTAGGGCCCTGATGCAGGTCCGGATGCAGGAGTAGATTGGAGATCCAGTTGCAGATTGGGATACGCGGAGGAGTCTATGTTGCCCACGCTTCGGCGCCGATAACGCTCAGGTTGTGCTCTCTCCGCATGTGACGAATCATCCACACTCGCAACCCGATTGTGCATGCTCGGTCGAGGCACTGTTGGAGTGCTGTGATCATCGACCACCACGGTCGGAACTGGAGCAGGGGTTGCAGCCGATGCTGCGGCTTCCGCCCGTTGATTGCCACGTCGATAACGGTTTGGAGAGGGCTTGGGGGAGTTTATGTTCATAACGGAAGGAGGAGGAAGGTTGGCGGTAGATAGGGGGCGGAGCGGCTGATCGCTCCTCGGTTGCCTCGAGGGAAGTGCACTATCGTCCTTGGAAACATGGGAACGGAAGGAAGAATTGGAGGAAGAAGAATTCGATACAGAACCAGCTGCAGTATGGGGGTTTCGGGGGGTGGCAGCGTATGCCGGATTCCCGGGAAGTTGGGGAGCGGTAGGGGCGGAAAAGGTGCGGTGTTCTGGGCGGAGATGAGGAGACCACGACTGGCGGTTTTGGGAAGATTGACTCAGGTTCGGATTGTAGGCGTAAGGAGCCACTACCGGATGTCCTGATCGATAGTTCCCAGAATTGCCATTGAATGAAGTCCAAGACATACTCTGAATGTGCGAGGCCTGGTTTTGGGGGGCGCTGAAAGTGCCGGAAGACGAGGAAGGACGCGTCTGGAGCACAGGTACCGTACTACTTTGCGGGATCGTTTGAACCAACGCGGCCATATTGTTTTCTCCACCAGTATGTCAAGAAGCCACGTCCGGGAGGCGTGATCGGGAAGACAGGAAAAGACCCGAGGAAGAGTGTTCGCGTCAAAGGGGGGATCCGAAGAAACAGGATGCTGTCACCAAGAGAGCTGTCAGATTTGAAAAAACGAGTTGACAGGTGGAGTTCAAAGGGAAAAGGGATGCCGGAGACCGCGTCAGCCAAGGGGCATACCTGTTCTAAGTAACGTGGACATAAACTATAGTGGTACAACGATTAAAAAAAGGACGCTCGATGCGAGAGATGCAGAAGGAAACTCGAAACCAGGCGAGGAAGAAACGAAAGTAAGGACACAGGCCAGGAGATGTCTCTAGAAGACAGCCATGTACAAGAAGAGAAGGGAAAAAGGGAGCCCTCGGAGAGGAATGTGTTTTGGAGAGAAGGGGGAAGGGGGAAAGAGGAAAATAGGAGGGGTCTGAGGTTGAAGATTAGGGGGATCGGGGATTACGGGCAAAACAGAGATGCATGACACTTGTTTAGTACTGTTGATATCCGACATTATTATATTATTACTACTTACTACTGTAGTATTTACTACAAGTGTATTTACCACTGTCTTATTTCCATCTCCTGCTCTTTGAGCTCAGGGGCCGAATTTACGTGCCAATCAGATATACGGGCTATCCCCTTAACGTACTCCATAGTGTAAGTTATTCTTAGACATAAGTCTCTTAAGTCAGGTTGTGCACTACACAGTGTACTGCACAGTATACTGTGCACACATGCACATACTCCGTGCACGCTTGATATCTGTCAAAGAACGTGAGTTAGAAGATTCCGATCGGGCTAACACTGCATCGCGCGATTTGCGCAAGTGCAACTCGCTTTCCACGTCTATGTCCACATCTACGTATACCCGAGGGAATATAGATGTGAATACAGTATATATACATATAACTTTATCTACAGAGTACTCGTACATCGAACATCTGGAGATCCGAGATGAACCTTGGAACTAGGGCACGACCTGAACCACGGTTGAGTCAATCTATGCATCTGAGACAAATAACTATCCCGACCAACCATGTTGCACCGATGAGGCTGAGATATATACTACTGTAGGATGATATCTGACCTACGGGATATGTATGGATGTTCTCGGACCTGAGCTTACTCCCCTTTCTAGCGTTATCATATGTACAATGACGACTCGCTACCTTTTCCCTTGACGTGAGTTCGTGCAGGTCACAGGGCCTTATCGGCGCCATCCGAGGGATCCTCGTACTTTCTATCTACACCTGCGCACCCTACTGTAGGTGTAGCATGCACGGCACTGTATGCACTGTACTGTACGTAGTATTCTTATCTATCTCCACGTCCCCTCACTCCAAGTCGATCCACAGAGTTCCCGCGTGATCGACATACGCCAAACCCGTTCAGCAGGCTGTGCTTCACATATAACAGTTATATCTCGCATCCATATCCAATTAAGGAACTATCCAAATTTGCTGATCACGGCAGGTTGTTACGTGTTTACTAAATGTATTTCCATTTCTTGAATATCACACCATATCCCGACCTACGGAAACCACGGAGCTACTTAATATCGACTTGTCCGGGATTGACTTAGCGCGCCTGTTAGATTGCATAATGCATATGGGCGAAGCAAATCATCGCGTATCAAGCATGCCCATTCTTAGCGTGTGCTTTCATTTACCCCAGTGCCAGTATTCGTGCCTGTGCGCATATTACATATTAACGTTTCCAAATTTCCTCCCCTTTTTTTCCTGGGCGTGTGCACGGTGCTATGTGGCTAATCCAGGGGCTTCCTAGGAGGTCCGTAAAGAAAGAAAAAGAAAAGTTGGAATTGCGGAGAAGTTGGCGGCTTGCGTTCCCACACGTGGAGCTCTTGAATGTGCGCTGATCCTGTCAATCCACTGGTTGCGACGGTTTTGACTGCCTTTTATGGATTCGCGTCCAAATCCCGAGGTTTGTACATGTGTATGGTTTGATCTGATTCTTGCCGTCTCTGTTCTGTTGGCTTATTCGTGCGGACCTTGCTCCCGGCTTGACAGTTAATACTTACATGGTCAAAAGTACGAAGCTTGGAATTTTCACAGGCAATTGTGCATAAGTAGCATGGGCACAGACACACTAAATTTTAGAACGTACATTTTCTCTGGGGAAGCCATTGTGGAGCCTCGTCTTCGCTTGTGCGATCATACCCAGGTAGTCAGCTAAGTTTCAACAGGCTTTTTAGGCACATCTCTTTCCTTTGCTACCATGAACGTAATGAGTTTGGTTCAGAAACTGTTTTGGCCTAGTTTCGGGTTTGAGATGCAAAATTCCTGGATCGGATTTATCTGATACACTTGAGCCGCGGTGGATATATCTTTCTCGTTCCCGTTTGAAACAGCTCCCCACTAGCTCTTCATGATCGATTTCTACAGCTACATGTAGTTCAAATGCGAACTGGTATTATTTGATAAATGCCAAGCTGCTAAGGTATATAGGGTAGAGTGCACAGTCAGGCGCTTAGGTAACCATTGGGGGTCATATCTGGGCATACTGGCCAGAATTTTATTCAGCCCTCACAAAAAGGTCCTGGTGGATACGAAACTTAAAACTCTGATACGAAGTACTGACCATCAAAGTATGCGAATTATTCGTATCACACACCAATTGGCAATGGCCCTACCTATGTATCGGTGAAGGTACTACAAAACACAACCTAAAGGCTACACCGGTCACAATGGCAGACAGACACAGGGGTATAAATGATTCTATTCTTTTTTCCTTGTCATGAACACGTATCGAAAGACCAAAACAAAGAAGGCACAAGGAAGCCACTAGGAGACATCTACTGTAGTCAGTAATCATAGCTCATCCTGGTCATCCTCGAAATCCTCATCCATGTCATCGTCAAGACCCTCGAAGACCATGAATTTTTCGTTCTTAGCGTCTGTCTCATCAGGAACAACATTTCCATCCTGGACCTCGCAGTCCTTCAACACACATTCACTGCCGATCTTGGCTCGTCGGCCAATGATGCACCCTGTGAGAACTGCCCTGGGTCCAACGACGACTCCATCCATCACGACGCAGCGGGTCAACCGGGCACCGCTGGAGATGTGGGAGTTTGCTCCGATCACACTCTCTTTGACTACGCACTTCTCTTCGATCGTGACGTTCATGTCGAGAAGGCAATCGCTCTTTGTGACGGTGCAGCGCTGGGCTACACCGGCTGGGTAGGACACCTTCTGGTTGTGGGCGAAAGCAGAGGCGGCGGAACGACCAACTTCCTCGGTAGACTCCAGCTTTGCAAGACGAAGAGAAGTGGATAGGAGCATAGCTGACGAATCGACACGCCTAATAAAAGGCGCTGAGCCTCTTTGGACGTACGCAAGCATAGGTGGCAAAGAGCCAGACTTCAGGCTCTCGGATACTGAGCTCGGAGCCTTGACGCGAGAAGCGAATTGGGGTTTGGCGCTGCGTGCCGACTCGGCGATGGCCGATGTGGCCTTGGTGGTGCTCATGCTCTGTAGATCGATTTCCTCCTCGAGTGATTCGCCGTCGTGACTTGCATCCTCACCGGAGGGTAGAGAATGGCCCTGTCGCTGGAAAATCTCATTCATCTTTAGTTTATTGCCGAGGCCTTCTTGCCACTCGGCCTTGGCCCACCAGCCAACCAAATCCTCACTGACGGACTGGAACTTGTCATTCAGGCGGGCGAAATCCTTGACCCAGTAGGGCAGGACGTAGAGGTGGGCATCACGGTAGCTCGACAACATCTTAATCCGCGCGTGCTTATCCACGAGGGAATGGCGCACAAGAAATCCTTTGTCGTGTTCCATCTTTTCCTTCAGTGTCGACATCGGCATAGACAGGACCAGCTTGGAAAGGTCTGTGGTGTGTCCGGCGGGGGCCTCGTCCTGCTCGAATGGTGCGATAGCCACAAAGTCGGTAGCCTCACCCTTGACGCTCTCTTCCCGGCCTTGCGTCTGATAGAAGACACTTAGACCACCCCGGCGACCACCCTGTTCGCCGCCAGGCCCCGAGCTCGCGGGGCCATGCGCATTGCGCCCCTCCCGAACTGTGCTGCTGCCGCCGAGAGCGCTCTGGAAGATCATCCACGACTCCAACAAGGACTCGCCGGGGATTTCGCAAATAAGATCACAAGGAAGAAGTAGGAAGTCGGACTTGATGCAGTTTTGAACCTCGGGGAGGCGGAGCAGTTCTGCGGTTCCTGTTGTCATGTCTAGGTCCCGTGGGGCGATGACTGAGGGCGAGGGCGAGGGGATCGAGGTTAAGTGCGGGTTTTGTCGCAGTGCAGCCTGGAGAGGTGCTAGAGACGATGGAGGAGTAACCAATGTGATATCTATTAAGGTTAGTCTTTCATCGCCCCGCGATCAACTGAAGGACTTACCAGTGATTCCCATCCTTTTGCAGAAGTCGATAGTGTAGAAGATCATGGGCCGATTGGCAACAGGGATAAGACATTTTGGGTACCTTTACCACCGTGTGTTAGTGAGAGCTGCGCGATATAGGCAAAATCTTTGGGATACTGACTCCTCTGGATTTGAAGTGAACGTGTTGAGCGAGACACCCGGACCGCAAAGGACCAGGGCCTGAAACCCGGTATGGGGAACTGGAAGAGGCATTGCTTTGAAGTTCAGACCATGCACTCGCGGTCTCGAGGTGTTATGAGGGAAAGCTATGAGAAGTGTTCATGTGTGAATCACAGTGGGACAAATTATCTGCCCGGTTGACCCGCCTTTGGATTCTGCCGGTACTATCATGACAAAGAAGTATTTACTTTGATGGAAAGCTGTATTTACTCAATGTAAGATATTTGTGTCTAGCTTGAGCTTGCTGGTTGTTATCTGTTCATCAAAATAGCTCAACCCAAGGGAAAACAGGTTTTGCAGCGGTATTTAACCCGTGAGAATGAGGCTGTTCTAGTACGTCTGAAGTAGGCGGTATGGGCAATCTGAAAGCGGTGACTTGTGTAGGCTGGCAAACTCGAGTATTCGCCGAAGAGCCGTCTGATGATACCGGATAGTAAAGACGAGAGAAAGCTACATAGTAGAATGCTCAATTGGTCTTTGTACCTCTATCATATACTGTATAGTGGCATCTCCAGAGCTGAGATTACATAATCCCAGCCCCCGGTCAGCCCCCAGATTTATGGGACGCAAACAGAACAAACAGGAGTAAACACCGCGGTTATGCTCACCAGCCACATGTTTCTGGGCTCCGAGGGCCAGGGACACTTCCTCTTTCCATCCCCTTTCCCCACCCTCTTCTTTTACCGGAGACAAATGATATGCGACCTGCAAGTCATTGCGATCGCGATTGATTGATAAATGTGCCACCTCTAATCTACACCGCAATGTCTTTCCCCCAGGATCCTCGGCGCCGCCGCGGCGGCGCCGGGACAGGCTTCAGCTCAACAGGCGGACGAACGGCCATGGGATATTGGTTACCCTTGGCCTTGACCGCTGGAATTGCAACTATCAGCATCGCCGCTTGGATCTGGAGCGAACGAAATGATGACGACGACGAAGACGATCACCCCCACGATGGCGATGGCCCTTATCCGCCTCCTTCTGTTCCTGGCAATGACTTCGCCCCACCTGCATATGGCGCTGGAGATCATGCACGAGGCACAATGGCAGAAGTGCTGCCTGGTGATGCTTCGTACGACCATGGGATGATGGCGCGCATGCAGGGTGCTTTGCGCCGCACGCCAAGTCCTCAGCAGATCTTCGATGGCGCCAGCAAGAGAGTTGTCGCAGGTGTTACTGCCGCAGGGGCTTTCGTCGGGGGTGCCCTCACCTCTATCCGCGAAGAAAACAAAGGCGACTTCGAGGATCACTCCAGATGGTCAGAAGAGGCTCAAAATAGAGCTCATGAGAGGAGTCAACAAGCCGCAGTCGCGCCAACTATGAGCGGCGGATTGCCTAGCCGTGGAGTTGTTGCCGGCCAGCCCTTCGAGAAGAAGAAGAAAGCTGTTGCGATTGTTGTATCCTCGCTTTCACTGGCTGACTCCGACGACTATGCTTCTGAGCATGCGGTAAGCATACCCACCCGTGACATTTACCCCAAGCCTTTCTGACAGACACAGTCTATTTTATCTCATCTCCCTGAACACATTGACTTGGGAACCTCCAAAGTATTCGTGCTGATCTACGCCCCGGACTTGAAACACGCTATCAAGCAAGGAGGCTCGTCCCGGCCTACGCTCTCTATTGCCTCGTCATATTCGAACATTGCCACGGAAGAAGCAGCTTCTTCCGGGGAACTGGCCTCTGGGGATCTGGCTGCCGTCGAACCCCGCCAGGAGGATGACATGGAGGGTACAAGCCACTTCTTTAAAACACTCTACACACAGGCCCAAGCGCTGGTTGAGAAGGAGACCATGATCATGCCCTTCAGCACAGCTAGTGGATACGTCCACCTCGTCCGCCACCTGTCTCCCGATCTTGTCTATGTCCAGGAGTCTCTGACCGGCAATGAAGGCGACGCAGTCCAACACATCTCTGGATGGGTTCGCCAGGTCATTGTTGTGGTCGGAGATGAGGGTGGCCGAGGTGGGCTCATCGACAGCGATGACGAGTCTGCTCTTGGCGAGAAGGGAGAGAAGTGGTGGCAGAAAGAAGGAACCACAGGCATCGGTAAACGTATTGACGTGGTCGATGTCCTCCGAGTAGGAGATGACTGGCGACGACGTGTGCGTGATCTAGACTAGATCCCCGAATCGTTGCCCCATGACTTTGATGTTGATATTTGATTTCTTGCATGTGTATACCTGTTTCTCTACTGCCCTGATGATTGATTGACCCTATTCCCCTGTTTGACTGTTCTACTTGGATTTGATATGTTTGTTTTCGAGAGTATAGAGCTCTATTGTCACGTGTGACAATAAGATAACTCTCAGAATTAATTCATTCTTCCTTGGCTTCAATAGATCATTAATAAAAATTCATCTGATGATCAGCTGTATCCTAACGGCAACGAATGCTCGTCAATGCTGTGAAGCTATTGATTCCATACGCTCACAATATTGATCCTATGTAGGGCAGAGCTGCTAGTCCTATTGCGGGATCAATCACGTGACCCCATTGTCACCGCGGCTTGGCATCATTCACCTCCCTCTCTAAGACCTCGCCCAGCGTCTTCTCCGAACCCACCCCTTCCCAGCAGCATTATCGGGGCGCTTTCATTCTTTCATTCTTTTTAAACATCTGGCTTGTCTCAGCCATCCTTTTCGCATTGATTCCAGCTGTGCTGGTGACCGGTGCTACCCTATCTATCCCCACATGTCTCGCGCATCGACCCTAGTCATTACCCGGTTTCCATTCAACATCATCAGATCGGCATCCCGATAAGTCGCATTCCTAACTCACTGGTCACACCGACTTTGCGCAACCGGCGCAGACGACATGGCGACCGCAATTTCCAAACCGACCTCTCATACCCCGAAGATGAAGCGGCCGCCCCCGCCTTTCGGCCAGGCCGCGGTCAACGGGGTCAAAGGCCAACAACTTTCATCGTCACCCACCTCCGCCTCCAAACGCCCTCCAACAAGCGCCTCTGTTCACGCGAATTCTAACTTCACAAATGGCGCCGCCAATGTGGTGAATCCGCTCAAGGGCCCCCTTAACCGGACCCGGAATCAGTCGCAAAGGCCCGTTGATCAGCTCTCGCGATCTGGCCGGCCAGTCACGAGAACAGCTGTGATGGACCAGGCACACAGGGTTGGGAAAAAGGCACCAGAACCATATGGTAAGAAATCCCGCGAAGCCTGCAATGGCAATGGCAACGCGCGAGTACTGACCAGGCTGTCACAGTGAAAACTACATCATACATCCTCAAGAAATATTCAAAGTCCCCTCCATCTCTTATTGTCCATTTGCATCCCACGCATTTTCGATTTGAGCAGCAAGATGGTAGCTTCCCCTACAACTCCGAGATGAAAGTCATCATTGAACACATTCGCGCCGGAACTGTTCCACATGATCTGATCGAAGAGCTCCTACGAGGCGGTGTACAGTTCTACGAAGGTAGCTTTCGGCAGTGACAGATTGCCAGATAGTTTCTTGCTAATATTTCTTAGGTTGCCTCATCGTCCGCGTCATCGATCACAAGTCCGTCTCCGCGCAAGCAAGGAAGACCTCAGCGTCGTCAACCACCGAAAACAATACCCCTTTCTCTCTACACAACTACAACGAGCATGTTACGCCATCGGCATATGTTCCATACCCAAAACAGAATCAGCTTACGTCTGACGCACAAGGCGCGAAGACCGACGGAACGCCAGTTCCAAACCAACAAGATGGCCAGGATGCGAGCGAGCAGGAAGGCCAGAACGGCAACCTACCGCAGAAGAGTGCACCATCTAAGCCTCGAGTGTTTACCACCGTTCTCCACCCAACTGCACGAACCTTGCAAGCTGAATTGACGCTGCTTGTCACGACTCCTGACCCAAGAGCCAACAAGATAAATCAACAGACCTCTTACGCAACAACCCCAGGAGGCACTCAGCCGGATCGTGGAAACATTGCGAAGAGACAGAAGACCATTGTTGCACCAGAAGATCTCCTGGAGTGCGAAGCCAAAATGATCCAGGCGATGGCTCCCCCTCTATTCCTGGAGCCTGTGCGTAGCTTCGACGCTGCCCAGGGGCTACTGAAATTCCTGGAAAGTCCATTGCATTGCGACCCGCCACCTTCGCCCAAGCGCCGCAAGAGAACCATTGCCGAACTCGCTGCAGACGAGGCATTGGCAGCCGAAGAGGAGAGGTTCATGCTCATTATGGACGAGCGTCTGGAACCTACAGCTTCTGGTACTGGTGCGTCAAAGGCCGCCGTTGTCGACGACACCGGTGGCGTCGCACCGTTTGAGCCCCGATTCTCTCGATTCAAGACAATTGAGACGATTCGCATGCAGCATGAGGAGAAGGCTAAACGCGAACACGAAATCAAGTTGAAGCAAGAGCTGGCCAAGAGACAGCAGCAAGAACAAGAGCGAGATCGACGACGCGTGGTCGAGCAGCGACAAGCTGATGAGCACGCCAAGGAGGAAGCTCGCAGACAGCAATTGGCTGCCCAACAGGCACAAGCTCAACTTGCTGCACAACAAGCAAACCGTCACGTCATGGCTCAACCCAATGGTATGAACCAAGGACAACAGTCTTCGCCTATTGTACGCAATCAAACTCCGCACGTCACTTCCTCGCCCCTCGTTGGCAATACTATGCCGGCGCAGGCCGTCCAGATGGCCATGTCTCAGTCTGGGTCTGGCAGTCCGCCACGGCCACCATCTGCTCTGCAACATGCGCACGCCATGAGCCATCCGATGGCTCCTTCGAGAAGTCAGCAAGGTCCAAGTCGACACGGCACTCCCCAGATGACCCAGGGTACACCGGCCATGTCACATGCTACTCCGATTATGCGCAACGTGACACCGACCCAGCGGATGAATCATGGCAGTCCCAACCACCCAAACATGGCTCAGACTCCCATGATGAACCAGGGCATGGGCGTTAATCCACAGATGAACGGCGCAAATATGCAGCACCTTAATCCACACCAGCAGCAGATTATCATGCAACAGCGACAGCAACAGTTGCTCGCACAGGGACATCTCGGTCACAATCAAATCACACCTCAGCAATTCGCCCAAATGCAAGCCAATGCTCAGGCCAATGCACATGCCCAGCAAAACATTCAATCCCATCAACAGCAAATGCTACAGGCTCAGCAGCAGCATCAGCAGCAACAACAACAACAAAACAATCAAAATGTTCAGAAAGTGCCCCAGCAGAATCAACAAGCATACCAAGCTGAACTCATGCGCGCTCAATATGCGCAGATGCAAATGGTTAAGCAAGGCCAGCACCCACAAATGCAAGGCCAGCAAAATCAGCCACAACAGGGTAGACCACAAATGACACCCCAGCAACAGCAAATGTTGATGGCGGCCGCTCAGGCAAACGGTGGCCAAGCTCCTCAAACCCAGCAGAGCATGCAACAACGATATGCCACCCTCTTCCAACAGCGACTGCTTCGCCTCCGACAAGACATGTCGCAACGGCTTTTGCCTCAGTTTGGCCCACCGAGCCAATATCCACCCAACATTGCTCAACAATACAGCGCCGGACTGGAGAAGACTGCCAAAGCATGGATTCAAGAGCTGATACGAAGAGAGCGCGAAGGTTTACCGACTGGCCAACCAGGCCAGCCAGGCCAGCCACGGATGAACCCGAACCAGGCTGCTATGATGCAAGCTCAGCAGGCCCAGGCCCAGGCCCAACAAATGCAACAACAAAATTCGATGCACGGCATGAATATGAACAACTGATGCCAATCCGACTGCTGGCGTTAATCGCACAACTAACATACAACATTGATGATACCCCGGTATGGCAGAGACAGATTTGCAATTTACTCAATGGACAATATGGCGCAAGATTGATTTATGCTAAACATTTACGCGGCCATGTAACTGGCTGGTAACAGCTTAATTCGCAAGTGGTCGCGGTTTAATATTGCCTGCTTGAATTCCTTTCCTGCTTTATATTTATTTTCGTTCTTTTCATATGGTTCTTAGGGATTTGTACAGGAGCCTGACATCGTGGAGATGAGTGGACGGCGTCATGAAATTTTTTTGCCATGGCTTCATTTTTGTGATTTGTACTATCTGGGCACGGTTTCGGCGGGAAAACTGGGATTTATCAGACTCGATACCATTCTGTACAGGAGTTTTTCTTTTCTTTTCTATGAGTCTGAAGGTTTGGGCAAAAACTTTGGATTTGAGGAAATATTTCAATGCAATGACAAAATGCAAGAACTGAATTCAAATTACCACTTCGAGTTGCGCAGATATTCACATGCGTAGCTATTGAATATAGGCTATGAGTATGCTTTTGTTCGAAATTGTTTGTAAGAGGACGCGCTGATCCGAGACCACGGAAATGGAGAGATATGAGAGAAAATTGCATTGTAATATTCTAAACTATGCCATAGACATATCTCTGGTATTCCTTTACTCAGACTGTTGAGCTTGATATTTTTGAACACTCATGGAGAAGTTCATGTCAATTTAGAAAAGGAGATCATCACGGTAAAGGAAGACTAGAGTTTGTCCTAAGAGATGGCAGAGAATCCGGACAGCAAAAGCAAACAGTCAGAAGACATTAATCCGATGAGCAAATGCTTTCAAATAGCCCTACTGCGGAGTGTAGGGGCGCATAGTAGACAAATATGCCTGAGATTATGGGATTCTCGCTGGGGAACTTCGAAAAATTGACGTGCTGAAGTTTTTATATCGTGTGATTACATAAGGAATAAGTCAGCGCGGAGAGAGGCCGGCCCGGACTGGCTCCGTGGAGCGTTGCCTATTTGGGACATTTATCAACAGCGGAGTATAGACCGAGGTTGGGGGATAGGGCAGGGATTAGATTTGAGGAGGAACTGTTCGGGTGCTATATACAGTAGATCACTGACAGCAAGCAATCAATAAACCATAGCCAAGACCCCATGAGACCATCGCAAACTCTGTCCCACTCGCGATTCGAACGCAAATATGCGCTCAAGGTAGAAACATCCCAAATCTGAATAGACATCCGAAAAAGCCATCGGGCCGTAAGGCAGTTGCATATAATTTCACACTGTTATATTGTTGCCGAAGTCATGACATTAATCCACACTTACTTTTGATCTGGAGTGTTCAATGGTTTGAGCCACGGTCTCGACACTGCTGCAGCTCTAGGCAGAGAGGCTATCATATTACGCTGCTGATCTTCCTGGCTCTAGTGTCAGCTTTACGCCGATGCGACAGAGATTGGAGGTGAACACCCGTGCCCTACACCGTCTACCTTGACCTTCGAACTCAAGAACATGCCAAGATTGCATCCCAACAAAATCAAGGTACCATATCATCGTACTTACAGCCATATGCAAGTCGAATGTGACACTGCGTGGAAAAGTCTGCGTCGAACAAGTACTTTCAAAATCCAGGTTCAAAGACAGGAACAGGGATACTGATCGCCGTACATCACCGATAAAGTTAGCAGGGAACACCAAAACTCAGTTCCGACATGACAGCAAAGCACAGAATCAAAGATCTGTGATAAATAAACATATGCATTGCATCGCATGCTAATGAATAAATAAATGGCTCATACTAATCCTCCAGGTCCTAAGTCTAAAACAGAATTGATAAACAGAGCACTTATGCAAAACTTGGATATCACATTCCAATGCATGTAGCCTCCAGTACAGAAGTACTGTATTCGGGGTCTACTTGTTTCAAGTCAGTCTGATATACGTACATACAATGTCTGAAAGTCAAAGAGACACATTGACTCAGACGCTCAGATGACTGAAAGTTCATGCAGTTATGCAGTCTCAAACTTTGAATAATGTCTCATTTGTACAGTGTGTCAATTGGGGATTGGCGAGCCGTGATGTGGCTAGCTGTACAATGTACTTTAGGATTAAGTTAATTTCCACGCACACAGACATGCCGATGTAATGAGCTATAGTGATCTTCCTATTGGCAGGATACTTTCTCCCAGGAATGTTGAGATGTTGAGGGTACATACATACTGTGTCACTGTTGTTATTCTGGACGCTACTGTAGCGTAGCTACATTTACCGAGGAGGAAACAAGAAAAGTAAATAAAATACAAAAAGGAAAAAGGAAAATGCAAAATGCAAAATGCAAGATAGAAGAAAATAAGGAGCTATTAGCCATGCTGAATGCATGCCGCTTAACCGCAACGTACAGTATCTTCCCCAGGAACATCCCACCCATTCTACATTATGCACGCAGCGCAACTTCTCGGCCGATCAGCGATGATGCCATGACGCATTGTAGACATAGCGCAGAGCCCTACAATCCTGGATCCCAACACGAGAGAAGGGAAAAAAGAAAACAGAATTGCACATCAATAGTGCATGATTGGATGCATTCTAGAACGTTAACTCGTATCTCATAATTCATGTACTGTGATTGGAGAATTCGAGCCAGCAAAAGAATTATTGGATACCACTCCATATCACCCCACAAGGGTCAAATCACTTCTCGATTCGGCCTGCGTGGCATATACATAGCATGGAGAGCGCGGTGTGACAAAATGGTCCGGCAATTGGTCAAACACCGAGTTATGTTAACGTCGCGCACATAGTACATGTACGTGAACGGGCGACTTGTGAGTAACTAGCGGTGGACCGGATGATTTGTCACTGGCATTTGAAATTGGGGAGTATTTGAAGGAAATCGAAAGCTACAGGAAATGGAATGAATATGAGATCTAGACTTGGCTACTTGAATATTAAAATTCTTCACTTTTAACAAATAGTGGAGGTGGGATTGGAACTGGATGTGGAAATGGAGTAGACAATGGCATGCCGAATCGCGGTGAAGAGGGAAATCAGCCACTACGACCGCTCCCGTACATGTAGTTATGCCTTAGGCTTGGAACTACAAAAGATGCAGGCTTAGACTTCAAGAACTGGTGATATCCAACGCACGAAGCTCACTCGGGAAAGCTAGAAGGTGCTGCCTGGAAGGCCGATCCAGCCGGGAAGGCGGGATAGCGCTGCATAGCGCTGATAGGCGTTCGTTAGATGATCTCACATACAGCAGAAAGAGAAAAAAGCAATGGAAAAAGCAAAACGATGGACCACTGAACGCTTCAAGCCCCAATCTCCAAGTCTCCAAGTTTCCAAGTTCCAAGGCCCTGGAAATGGGGAATGGGGAATACGGAATGGAGAAGGAGACGCATTAGACCCGATCTCGACATTGTGGCGAGAGTCCAGGCACAAGTATGCGGCTCTTGGCGGATGCATAGCGTGTGATCTTTGCTTTTTGGATTTTTATTTCCTTTTTTTTTTTGGGTCTATAGATAGCAGGTAACATTGTCTTTCCGGCCATGTTGTAAACTCCACATGCTTCATAGCCCGTGTTGCGCTGTCGAAAGTGGCGCGGCGGGTTTTCCTCATTAGGCTGCATGGTTCACGGGGTTGTAATGCAGGACATGGACGTATGTGCTCGGGAGTTCGTCCAATTCACGAATAAATGCCGGGGTACAGATTTCGATACGGATAGAGATTATCTGGGCTCTACTTAGGAGTAGATCATGACTGACGTTTCAGAAATAGGGGGATTGCGAATAGGGAGACAGTTTGTTAGTGGAATGTGGAGCGTAAAGTGTAGAGATGAATAAACAACAGTTAAATGGCGCGCGTCTGGGCTTTCTGATTTGGCAAAAGTTTGTTCCCCGGTCCACTGCGCTCCACTGAAGAAGATAGATCTGTTCGAGAGATCCAACGAGACGCGAGGTGATGTGTAACATTCGAGTCTCCACGGGGCGCCCGAAAGCTACAAACCAGGGAAAAGGCGAAGTTAAGTGTGACAAGGATTTGATTAATTATATTATAAAGGGTATAGAGACTGCGTAGATGCAACATAACATGTAGATCTTTTTGTATATTATGCCACAGAGTGCTAGTGGGTGGTGGTACAAGCGAAAAAGAAAATAACATCACGTTGTAGCGGATTGTACACGATCGCCCACCCCTAAGGGCATGAATTATGAGCGATCCCAACCTGTAAAAATCATATGCAACGCCAGATAAACACCGACGTTCAAAGTATACCTCCCCAACCTTTGACACCGGACAAATTATGCAAGAGAAAAGGAAAGAAAGGGAAAAGCCAAAGTCTCCAATCGAGGAGACATGTACAACGCCGTGGTCAGAGGTTAATCTGGCCTGTAATGCCACTGCCCTGTGGGCAGCCGATCCAGAGACGGGGTATCAAATATCCTGGGCCAATGATGGCGCGTTTCTGTTTCTAAGAATCCATATTTTCTTTTGGAGTCGCGTAGAAGAATGGTTTTTTTGTCGTTTTCGTCAATTTTTTTTTGCTTGGGTTTTTTGCTTTTTTCCGCTTTGCAACTAGTCGTCCCAGCCATCGACGCTGAGCTCACCGCAATCGGGAATAGCATCTTCAAGCTTGCTTCCGTAGATTGGGCGACCGTCGGGAGTCAGCTGGCCACGGAAATCAGGATCATAATCTTGACTGGTCTCATCGAGGGTCGCGACGTAGCGGTTGCGACCACCCCGCTTGCTGTGGGTCTTGGTGTAGTGTGCGTTAAGATTGTCGCTGCGGGAGAAAGCGCGGTGGCAGCCAGGGACCCAGCAGACATGAGGCTTCTCTTTGGAGTGGCTCTTCATATGACGCTTGAGGTGCTCCTGGCGCTTGAAACGACCCTTGCAGCCAGGCTCCTTGCACTTGAACTGCACCTGCTTGATGATTGAAGGCAGGTTCTCCAGGCTGAGGTTAGATCGAAG